AGTCAGTATTGTAGTATGACTTATCTGATATGTTTAGTTTTAGCACTAAGGTCTGGTTTGCCATTGATGTATAAGTGTCTATATAATTCTTGCTGTTCAGTTGTGTGACATTTTGTGATGTGATGGTGTCTGTGTTTCCTTTTTGTAATCCTGCGCTAGCTAGACCAATCTAATGTCTACAAAACTGCCGCACGCTTTGCTCAGCATGATTTAGTTTGCTTTGATGGTACCTATTCACTTTGGTTTGCTTTATATCAAAGATCATCATCCCTCTTGATCATTATAGGTTGTGGGTTAGCTTTTGTATATGATAATAAATGAGCAGCGTGCGAGTTTTGTATAAATTTATGGGGACGCTTTCTCACACAATGAGATGTAATGAGTATAATGTATGTGATATTTGAATTAAAAAAAAAAAATTGCAGGCCACTGTTTCTAAGCATTGAGGTGTATTGTACATAGTATTCTAACCTATGATTCTCATAGGCTAGCTGGCATTTAGTATTGTAAATTCCAGCCAACTGCCTTTACTTGCAAGAACATTTTCTGATTTAGATGGGATCTCTACTTCCCTGTGTGGGTTCTGGGGGTCCCTTTATGGGGGTCCCTTTATGGGGGGGGGGGGGGGGTGTAGGGGCAGGGGATAAACCATCAACTCCTTGACAAGTATTGTTGAAGAAGATGACTATTTAAGGGTTTGCTGAAATCAGATGTCTTGAACTAAAAGGCACAGATGTCACAGCCTAGCTTCAGTCCACAAATTGCAACCACATAGGAAGATATCACTGTAGCACCAAGTCTAGCATGCTGGCTCGTCAGCCAGTTGGTCATGTATTTGAATCCCCCTCAGTGCAGGAAATGAACTGTAAGCTTTTCGGAGAAGGTTAGATATCTAATCCACTGCTCCAAAATCAAGGGGAAAATTGTATCATCGAGTTTATTCTTTAAAATAAATTCATCCTTTGAATCATAATCAAACTACTGCAGAAAGAATCAGATGTCACATCCTTAACAGCTCTGCCTTCCATTTCATTTTGATTCATTTATAGCTTTTTAACTGTTTTTACTATCAAACTTTAGTTAAAAGGGGTTTCCTGGCATGATATGTTTCTCAGGCTGCTTTGTACCCTGTCCAAGTGGATTTAGGAGAGGAGGACACCGGACAGAAACTCCATCCCATTTATGATATTGAAATAATTGTACAGGATAGAGCGGAGGAATAGATAGTGAGCCCCATATGACATGTAGTGGCACAACAGGGAGATGGTGATGCAGCTTTAACCCACTCTGTCTCATTTGTTATTTCAGTTTTTTTTAGCCCTTCATACCCGCTTATTTCATTTAGCAACAATTACTTAGGTAAAAAGCCTTTTTTTTTTTTCAAACCACATGTCTGGGGCTTAAAGAATCAAGAGCCAATTAGTAGTTTGATCTTATCATATTTGATGCAGTCTTTTCCGCTGTGCTTGAGTCTTATTTTGCAAGTTTATTTTCTGACTTAATTTAAATTTGAACAAAGAAGACACAACCAATAGATTGCACAGTTCATTGCTTGACATATTTTGCAGTATCTCATCAGGTGTGTACCAAAGTAACAGATGAATAAAGTGTGTAAATGAATCCTTCTTTTACTGTATTAGTGCACCTGATGAGGTACTGTTAACTATGCCAGGTAATACATTGTGCAATCTATTATTTATGTGTGGCATCTGTGGCTTAGGCATTTGTAATTCAGAGATGCCGGGTTCGACCCCAGCTGCAGGAGATTTTGCACTGGTTTCGACAGTGCTATGGGGAGCTGGCCACTCAGGAGGCTATATAAGGAACACAACTTTTTTCTGGTGAAATTGCAAACAGCCAAAACATGCTGGGGTTGGTTCTGCAGTGTCCTGTAGAGGATACATGACTAAACAAAAAATTTTGTTTGTCTTCTTTGTTCAAAATTACAAGAAGAAAACATTGCTTTGATTATTTTATATAATTGCACCAAAGAAAACATTGTTTCAATGGCTTGAGTAGGTTTGTGCTACAAAAGGCTATTAATTTGTTTAATCTGTGGTTCCAGTCTTTTTTGATGTTTATTGTTATCTAAGAATGTTGTAAGGCATGGGACATTTACTTGTTTACTAAGTTGTTAGTCCCTGCGGCGAGACCCATCCATCATTACATCAACTGAAAAAGAAAGAGTTGTTTCCTTAAAATGTTTAGAAACGTATTGAGAGGGATCATATGAGTTGTCGATTGGGAGGACTGCCATGTCGCAGAGATTGTGAAAGAAGGGTCACAGACATGTCACCGAGATTGTGAAAGAAGGGCACAGACATGTCACAGAGATTGTGAAAGTAGGGCACAGACATGTCACAGAGATTGTGAAAGAAGGGCACAGACATGTCACAGAGATTGTGAAAGAAGGGCACAGACATGTCACAGAGATAGTGAAAGAAGGGCACAGACATGTCACAGAGATTGTGAAAGAAGGGTCACAGACATGTCACAGAGATTGTGAAAGAAGGGCACAGACATGTCACAGAGATTGTGAAAGAAGGGTCACAGACATGTCACAGAGATTGTGAAAGAAGGGCACAGACATGTCACAGAGATTGTGAAAGAAGGGCACAGACATGTCACAGAGATTGTGAAAGAAGGGCACAGACATGTCACAGATTGTGAAAGAAGGGCACAGACATGTCACAGATTGTGAAAGAAGGGCACAGACATGTCACAGAGATTGTGAAAGAAGGGTCACAGACATGTCACAGAGACTAAATGAGCAGGATTAAAAATATGTTTAAAAAGATGATAGATGTGCAGTATATCAAACATGGAATAGAAACACAGTAATGAGCATAGTGTCACAGACAAGAGTCAAAGTGAAAGGTCAGAGACAAACAGGCTGTCAAGAGATAATAGTTTGCAGCGTAATAAATGTGACATCCTCATTAATTCATTCGTTGTCCTGTTATGCCACTTTATGTCATATAGGACTTGCAGTATGTTCTTTTCAATTCCATTCTTTTCTGTGCAATTAATTCAATATCATGTATGGAATCCAGTCCAGCACCTTTGGCCTCTCTCATCCATGTTCGTTTTAGACAGAGAAGATGGTGCTAAATTAGACACATTCTGAGAAGATACGAGAGAGAATCACCAAACAGGCGCTAAGTTGGAAAAATGAAGGGATTAAGGAGAAGAAGGTAACCAAAAGAAACTCTAAAACGAACATGGATGAGAGAGGCCAAAGGTGCTGGACTGGATTCCATACATGATATTGAATTAATTGCACAGAAAAGAATGGAATTGAAAAGAACATACTGCAAGTCTTATATGACATAAAGTGGCATAACAGGACAACGAATGAATTAATGAGGATGTCGCATTTATGCCACAGACAAAAGTAGTATTGAGGGAAAGATTCATCTAAGAAAATATAGACCACTACAAGTAAAGGACTGTTTTTATGGTAATGTCGTATCAGTTATATGATGCTGGAGCCATAACTTTTTATAGACCTATCAGCTTCCTGATGGGTAATGTGGTCAGCACCATGCCGGCCGCTTTTACTTCCCAGGACATTAGCTGGTGCCCTTTTTAGGCTAGGCTGTCCTGTGAGCCAAGGTCAGTTTTAAATAAATCCAGCTTGATGAGATTCAAATCTGCCGACAGGCCAGCGTGTAGCCACTACGTTATTACATCAAATTAGGGTTCATAGCCATTTTAATGTTGTTTAAGGAAAATTTATAGATTGTTGCATATATTATTCTGGGGGAAGATTCATGAACATGTCATATTGGGGGTAGATTCAATCTTTATGTCATATAAATTATTGGGGGAAGATTCATCCAAGAGGAAGTCGATGAGTAGGTCACAAAAAGGTTGTGAGAAAAAAAAAACTAAAGAAAATAATAACTTGAAAACCCTTTATTTTTACACATACATTGTTCCCCCACCACTTTTCCCAAAAAACTGCACAACAGCATAGTAGATTCAATCTTTATGTCATATAAATTATTGGGGGAAGATTCATCCAAGAGGAAGTCGATGAGTAGGTCACAAAAAGGTTGTGGGAAAAAAAAAACAACTAAAGAAAGTAATAACTTGAAAACCGTTAATTTTTACACATACATTGTTCCCCCCACCCCTTTTCCCAAAAAACTGCACAACAGCGTGTTGTTCTTTGAGGGTACACTCAGCAAGTACAGTCACCATTTTGTTTCCATGTTGTGAATGTGCCTGCAGCACCTAGCGTCACCTAACAAATGGAGACATAAAAGTCGATGTGGCTGTCACCTAATGGTTAGTTGTGTATCCTTTACAGGACGTTGCAGAAAACAACCTTAACAGCCCCTGGCTGTTGTATGGTTTTTCTAGGCGAATTTACATCCAGTAGTTTGCCATTGCTTTCTGGACGGTCGGCCTTCTTGATACCACTGTCGAAACCAACGCAAGGCGCATGGCTCACAGCTGGGATCGAACCCGGCATTACGAAGCGTTCGCATCGACTTAGCCACAGAGCCGACGTCACTTAATGACACCTTTAAAAACCACCAACTACATTTGTCCTGCCATTACATAACCATTTGTAACCTACTTATTGACTTCCTGTCGTAGATGTGCCACAACAATTATTAGGGAAAGGTTCAATATTTCTACCTTAGAAATTGCTAGGGAGTAAAGTATAGATATGTAATTGAAATTAGTGGAATAAGAAGCAGATTCATAGATATGTCAGAAATATTATTAGGAGAAAGATTCAAGAAATTAGTGGGGAGTCTCTTACATGTCACAGAATATAATAAAACTGTAGCTACGTCACAGAAATATAAAAGTTGCTGACATAACAAGCAGTAAATATTGGCTAATAAAAGACATATATCAGGAAGACAAACCCGGGAAGAAGAAGAAAGAGATAGGTACATTTCTCAAGTCTAAGGCGTAGAGGGACCAGGGCATACTTGTTGCGATCTCATTAGCCTAACCTGTTTAATAACCCTACTGTACAGGGATCGAAAACAGGCCAGAGGCCCAGCACTCTGAATCTCTCTGCCACAACTGCAGCTTTGCAGGTGAGTTGTTGCCCCTGGATTAATGTTTCTGAGTTTGTGTCAGAAAGTGAAAAAGTTTTTTGTTCAAAGATTTCTTTGTTTCTTTTGAAAACTGCAACGCTGTTTATTACACTGCTAATAACCCTATACGGGTTCCAAGGCCTCATCTGTGGGAAGAGGCGGAGGATGGTAGACCCCACTCTTATAATCTTTAACCAGTATAGGCAAATAATTAAGATTGCTGATAATGCATATGTTGAGCGCAAAGATGCAGAAATCAGAGTCGCATGTAAAACCACACCCTTACTTGCTGGCTGGCTACCTTTTCAAGAGCAAATGCAGATGAAAATGTACTGCTGTTTTTTTGTTTTTTTTTTGGGGGGGGGGGGGGGGGGGGGGGGGGGGGGGGGTCTAAAAATGACTGAGAAAATTGCTAAATGTGGCGTCTTATACATAAACATCATACGTAATACAGATCCTGCCTTTTTTTTTTTAACTGAGACCCCTTTCCCATTTTTCTTTCAGTGTACTCTCATCCTCCTCCCTTCCCTCTCTCACACCTATCCACACTTAATCCATTGCTATTCTGCCGTGTGAAAAATATCACTAATAACAAAACGTCTTTGTACTGTCTAGTTGGCGAAATATTGCAATGCATTTGTTTAAGTAGGATTATTTTGTTGAGATCTCTCACACTGTTATATGGCACTAGTTATCTTCATCTCTGTCTTCATGGTCTCCACCTCAGGCTGTCAGCCAGTCCTTGTTTCTTGCCCCATAAGTTCACTTGGCAGTTTAATCTTTTATTGAACTGAATATTTCAGCCAAGATGCTGCACAATAACGAATGGGCTGTAGAAATACACAAGTTTTGTTAATTTACATTTGTGTGTTTGTTTTGAGTGTATTCCAAGGTCTAAGACTGGCTCTTGTCACAGTTTGGGAGTTTGGATTTTTTATACAAACTTTCTGGGTTTTTTTCTTCAACTTACCTAAATTAATTTATTGTTTCTTTTAGAATACTTTCTACCTTGAAAGATATGGTTTTAGTTTTATAACAATGAACTTTGGTAAGGTTTTTCAAAATTGTGTATGTCGTCTTTCCCCCATATGGGTTCAGGGCACCATATGGGTTCCATGGCCCCATATGGGTTCCAGGGCCCCATTGTGGGCCAGAAAACCCGCTGCCCATTAAAAAACATAACGTAAGAGTCGACTGTAAGGGTGTTTCCGTCGAAGTTTGAGTGCATCTGTGAGAGACATGGAACCAACAGTCTTCACACACAAACACAGGCAAAACCTGTAAAATGGATGTACACGAAGAAAATACGCCCTTGAACAAGACAAGTTTTCCATAGATGGATGAACAATGATAACTTTCCAACTTCACCTTGTCTAAGTTAGCAATAGTTCCTTTTGCAACCACAGCATGGATTTCTTATCATGTTTTTGTAATTTTTTTTTCTGAGGGTTACTGTTTTTTGTTTGTCCCCTGCGCAAATAATAATAAGTAACATTTTTCTCTGTAAGAACTCTTTTTGGGTTTCCTGTATGTTTGTTGTTGTTGTTGACTGTTTTGTTTCCGACAATAAATAAAATATCTTTATGTGGGGAAATTATAAGGGAAGAGAGCAAGGGAATGTAGATGGCTGTTTGTGGTAATTAGATAATCACATTTTCAACTTCATAGCAACCGGGTCACGCAGAAGTTGCTCCCTTCCTGTGCCAGCAAACACCATACAGAATGTCCTTCACTGTCTCTTGTGGAAAAATGGACACAAACTGCTGTCTCCGCATATCCAGTGGAATACACAACACATTAAATGGATAAGGCAGTCATCATAAATGCTATAGAAGCTGTTTATAGAAAGCTGGGCAATGAAAAGCAATACTTAAAAAACTAGTAATTTTATCAAAATATCAGTGGGTTGCATGTTTGTGATCATCATCATCATCTGCTTCAGACCAGGCACCCGAATAAGAAGGAAGGCAACCACATAGCAGTCACCACACAAACAACTCTGGGTTATAGCAATATTCTGTACCATTTGCTATCTTTCTTTCTGTCCTGTATACAGAGATTATTTAAATATATTAACTGACATTTTGCTTTGTTTTATTGCAATGGTTGTTTGTGAATTCTCTGGAAGAGTAAGTTTTATATTGTTAAGTGTCGTGTATTGATGCTCATGTTGTTTGAGCTCTGAGAAGGGCATAAATGTGAGTGTGGGTGATAAGGAGACTTGACTCAGCCTGGGATTGCAGTAGCATTTCCATGGGGACTGCAGAATCCTTCCCTTTTCAAATTATTACAATACCAGATTAGGGTGGAGGTCTGACAGGTCAAGCTTTAAGCTCTTAGGGTCATTTCACGACTGTTATTCGGTTCACAGATGTAGTTTTTGCAGAGCTCCAAGGGGAGCTTAGGAATATATGCTTTTTGCAGGCTGCTCACCATGCAGCAGAGAGAGACCAATTCATTTGGGATCAAATTTTGGTGCAGTGAAGTCAATCCTCTATACTTTTAACATGAAAAAAAAAGCAGTCAGATCATGATTCAGTTTATAACAGGCTGGTTGAGACTAGGTCTGGGTAGGTCATGTTTCCACCGCAGGTTTTATTATCAACAGACTCCGATTCCAGTTCCTGCAGGGACATTGATTTGGTAAAATATGCATCTGATATCTGTGTAAAATAAAGACCAATAGAAGAAGATAACAAAAAATAATGTAGTAAAAAATAAAGACAAATTTAAAAAAGATAACACAAAATAACGTGGTAACAAATAAAGACGAATAGAAGAAGATAACAAATAATGTAGTAAAATGTTTGTTTTAATTCTGTGAAGCAATGAAAGGATATAGAAGAAAAGCTAATACATTGTTGTTTCCCACACAGAAAACTTTGAAAGAAAAAGAGGAGCATATAGAGCAGTTGCTGCGAGAGCGGGATCTAGAGAGGTCAGAGGTTGCCAGAGCTGCAGCTCATGTGGATGAGGTATACTTACTATTCGTTTTTTTTTTCTTGTAGCATTCATTATGTTAAACAACTCATCAACGTTAAATGCTGAGGTAACAATGTAATCATATTACAATAGGTGTCTTTCTGTATCTTAATATATCTGGATAGATCTGTATCTCCTATCTTTGTGTGGGTCTGTAACTTGTATCTCTGTGTGGGTCTGTAAGTTGTATCTCTGTGTGGGTCTGTATCTTGTATCTCTGTGTGGTTCTGTATCTTGTATCTCTGTGTGGGTCTGTATCTTGTATGTCTGTGTGGATCTGTAACTTGTATCTCTGTGTGGATCTGTAACTTGTATCTCTGTGTAGGCCTGTAACTTGTATCTCTGTGTGGGTCTGTAACTTGTATCTCTGTATGGGTCTGTATCTTGTATATCTGTGGTGGTCTGTATCTTGTATATCTGTGTGGGTCTGTATCTTGTATCTCTGTGTGGGTCTGTAACTTGTATCTCTGTGTGGGTCTGTAACTTGTTTCTCTGTGTGGGTCTGTATCTTGTATCTCTGTGTGAGTCTGTATCTTGTATCTCTGTGTGGGCTGTATCTTTTATCTATGTTTGGATTTGTAACTTGTATCTCTGTGTGGGTCTGTATCTTGTATCTCTGTGTGGGTCTGTATCTTGTATCTCTGTGTGGGTCTGTATCTTGTATCTCTGTGTGGATCTGTATCTTGTATCTCTGTGTGGGTCTGTATCTTGTATCTCTGTGTGGGTCTGTATCTTGTATCTCTGTGTGGGTCTGTATCTTGTATCTCTGTGTGGGTCTGTAACTTGTATCTCTGTGTGGGTCGGTTTCTTGTATCTCTGTGTGGGTCTGTATCTTGTATCTCTGTGTGGGTCTGTATCTTGTATCTCTGTGTGGGTCTGTATCTTGTATCTCTGTGTGGGTCTGTATCTTGTATCTCTGTGTGGGTCTGTATCTTGTATCTCTGTGTGGGTCTGTATCTTGTATCTCTGTGTGGGTCTGTAACTTGTATCTCTGTGTGGGTCGGTTTCTTGTATCTCTGTGTGGGTCTGTAACTTGTATCTCTGTGTGGATCTGTAACTTTTGTCTGTGTAAAGTTTGTAGCTTCTATCTTTGTTTGGGTCTCTGACTTCTACCTTTTTGTGGATCTGTAGCATCTGTCTGTGTTGGTCTGTAATTGCTACTTTGTAGGGATCTATAACTTCACCACAATATATACAGATGGGTCTGTATTGAGAGGTAAGAAGAGTAAGTGTGTTGGGTTTTATTGCAAAGGTGAATGGGCACTGTTTGAGAACAAAAAGCTTCATGTACAACATCAGTACATTAAGTATGAGAATGAAGGTGGAGGCAGTAGCAGCAGCTTTCCGATGGCTGGAGAGCAACACAGCCCAAAGTGTTGTAATTGTAACAGATGAAACTCAGATCAGCTTATCATGGTTTCTGTTTAGCATATTCAGGTGTGAGAGACAACGAGCAGGCTGATAGGTTTGCTGCTGCTGCTCCTCTGGGCGCTAAGCAACTTTATAATAAAGCGAATGTGGTTAAGGCTCTCTGGTATCAAAGACAGCGCAGTAGAACAGATAGAAGATCTGCACATTGAAAGACTAATTGGATGAGGTGTGTAGAGGCTCTGGGCGATATTCAACATTGAAGGGGAAACAGAGGTGGACTTTTAATCGGATTACTATTAGCATACTATTAGCATGTCCCTAACAAGTAAGCCCTGGTACTATCCGCCACAGCGAGCCACATGAAAACGTTCCAACGGGTATAGAGCGAGTGGAAGACCTCGGAAAATATGGAGTGATGGCATTAAGAACAGCCTTACAGAAATGAACATCAGTCTTAATAGTGCTCTTGCTTATCAACGAATGTTAATCTCCCCCCAACACTTCGATGAGGTACAAAGTAGAAGAGAAGAAGAAGAAGACTATTAGCATGTAAACTCTTTATTGGCTACTGAAGAAGGGCAAGGAGCATGTGGGGAATGTCCCAAGGGCAGTGATGTCAATTCTTCATTCATGTTTTAATTTATGTCTTTGTGGGGGGGATGTTTATCTCCATATCTTTATTGGTCTGTATCCTCTGTGTGTGGGTCTGTAACTTCAGTGTTTGTATGGATGTGTATCTTCACATCTGTGTGTGGGTCTGTAACTTCAATGTTTGTATGGATCTGTATCTTCACATCTGTGTGTGTGTCTGTATCCTCAAGGCTGAAGGGCAGCTGAGTTCCATGAGGTCAGAACAAGACAGGCTGCGGATGGAAGCAGAAGAGCAGATTGCCAAATACAGAACATTGGTTGCTGAACTAGAAACTGAAAAGCTAGAGTTGCAAGCATTTCTGGAGGAAGAGAAAAGGTAGGTTTTAACACACTGTCAGTTCCAGAAATCAGATATGTAAATGGCATGGCCATCCTCAAACAGTGCAGTGTGGTTAGGGCAGGTCATTCATCTCTCAAGGGGTGTACTGAAGATCAGCATCTGTTTCTGAATCTAAAAGAAAAACAGAAATAATAACTACAGAAAAACCCACGTCAGCCAAACATTCAAATCAATGATTTAGATATTGAAAATGTTTAGATTTTAATACCTTGGCTGTAATTTGGTAATCCTAGTTTCAGCTTCATAGCCAACGGGTCACCCCAAAGTTGCTCTGCTCCTGTGCCAACAAAAAACATACTTAGCTCACAGTGTCACGTCATGCACTCAACTCAGAAGCTGGGCGACAAAACTATAGCTGTATTGTTAACAACACTTGGGGCTGTGCAGAAAGAGCCACACAAAGAATTAGCTAGGCAGTTGAGTGGTTTAGGAGGGAATAAAACTTCATGAATAACATTAGCAAACAGATGTCAGTAAGAGTTTTGTGAGCTTATGTTGTAGTTGTGTGTCCTTTACTTGATGTTGCAGAACCAACTTTGGCTGTTCTGGTTTTACAAGGCAATTTTAAGTTCATTAGTTTGCCATTGCTTTCTGAATTTTAGGCCCTCAATACCCCTGTCAAAATTAATGCAAGACACTGCTGCCAAATCCCACACAGCTGGAATCCAACCGGGTATCTTAGAATTACAAAACGTTTTTGCCACAGATACCGGCTGTTAAAATGTGTGTATTACGGAGTATAGACTACAGTAAAGATATGAAATATTTTGGCCACATTAAAATACAAGAGACTGTTACTTAAAAAAAAAATACTGGTATAAAGTGGATAAAGGATAAAATGCAAGGCAGGTGAGGTGTGCAAAAGGTAGACTATGATGCAAGGGTAAATATATCAAACGGTGGACAAACAGCAGAATTCTACAACCAGGTGAGAGCAGAGAATTAGAGATCACTTGCAGCCATTTTGTAGAGGTAGCACCTGGTAGGTTAATGACAGTTTTCCCATTCTCTCTTCTTCTGTTCTATCTTATTAACAGCCTTCAATAGATAGAGATCAACTTATGCAGCACTTTAGAAAGAACACACATACAAATCTTTACATCTCTCCTAATACATTGATGACATAACTGGAGGTAAAGAGGATGAGAAGATGACTTCTTTATTTTCTTTATTTTTAAATATTTTTTCTGTCTTTTCCATTCACTCACATATATACGGAATAATATAGCTAAAGTAGCAGTGTTTTCATTGTTTATGATAACCTAATAAATTGTTTGTCTCACAATTTCTTTTGTTTTCAACAGAAAAGTGGAAGATCTGCAGTTTCAGCTAGAAGAAGAAGCCTTGAAAGATGATGAAGATGTAAGTTATCCCCTCCCTTGCCCCTTCATCAAATTATGGTTTGGGCACTGCTATTTCATGGTTTGGGCACTGCTATTTCATGTGCTACTCTACTGAATAGCAGAAGCAACTTGAACTGTGACATTTATAATTGCAGACCATGCCATGTGTGTCCTTCTGATGACTGGATAAATGTTGTTTTCGTGAATCTGTGAATGGTTTAAATGAGAAGGCCTCAGGCCACTGTGTAACTGATGTCCTCCACTGATACAGGCAGCTTGATTTTCAGTGGAACGCCAACATGTCCAAGTTCTCGCCATCTTTTTCTTTGTTTGGACAATATTTGCCAGTGATCGACGTTTGGTTTTCTTCTTCAGTTTTTCATTTATTATCTTGTTTGGCCACAATATTTGCATAATTCTCCTTAGGCTTTTTTTTGTTGTTAAAATCATTGGGTTGAAAGTAATATCTGCTATCTTACAACACTTGCTGTTATATAATATTCCTTGTTGTATGTTTGGAGTTTTCTCAGACAAAGCCCTTTTCTTCTTCTTCTTCGATCCTTCTGTCAGAAAACTTATATCAGGAGGCCGGTAGCCTTTATGAAAGCTATCGTGCAGTCCATATCCCCTCGTATACCAAACTGTTTTGTCTTCACTGTGGTTGGAACAGGCCACTGCGTCTCTGTTGGCAGGATACAGTTGACAGTGTTGAAGCACATGCTCTGCCTATATTCTGATATTTTCTCCTCTCCTGATCTCACTGCTTTATAAACTGTGCTGAAAACCATTTCTCTTTTTTCTTGTAAAATGCTGAATCTGTTTTTGATTTATATCCTGAATAAGTCATGGAAAAATATCCCAATTTTTTTAAAACTTTATATTTGTGTATATCATGTTAAGTTGCACTGTTTTCCCACAAACAGGTGAAAACAAATGCAGCGAGTGAGTTACAGTTGAAAGAGCTGGAGAGACAAGCCAAGAAAGAGAAAGAGCGAGCAGATAAACTGGAGGCAGATTTACAAGAGCTAAAGGTTAGAGAACAGTGTGTTTGTCTTATGTATTTTCTTACACAGCCAAAATGGTATAGTAGTTGAGTTGAGTCAAGCACTCAGGGGATTCCCATGCATACTCCGTCCTCATCTTCAGCAGCCAGCGCAGAGTTCCAATACTGATGGTACCGGTCACAATCTGGGTATAGTAGTTGATACTCTAATTGTTACAGTGACCTGAGTGTAATCCACAGTTATTACTGGATTTGTTGTGCTGTATTTTCTTTCTGATTCTTCATAATTTTTATTTTGTGTTTGCTGATGAACATTATTGGTTCCTTTGTCTTCTTCTTCTTAGTGCTTACCAGCTGTAAACTGGTGGAAAGTCTACTTCTGGATTTTAATCTTGTTGCAGAACTTGAAATTTGCATAACACATCCATTGTACAGGTCTGGTTTACTTGTATGCAGACTGTTGGTTTCTCAACTCTCAAGCAGACGCGCTCCAACTCAGAAGAAAAAGAAAATCCCGAATTATTCGCCTTCTATGTCATGCTTGTTAGGGAGGCAACGGGTCTATCTCCCCCTCTCCCCCACCACCAAATGGGGCCCTGGAACCCACACGGGGAGATATGGATCTTTGATGTTTCTGCTTCACTAAGAGAAATATTCTTCAATTACCAGACACACAAAGGTACTTAGTCATCCTTGTCATTGGGTAAAGAGCATGTGGGCTGATTTTGTTCTTTTGTTTTTTTAAGGTCATTCAATAATGTTGTAGTCTCCTCATATATATCATATAAGCAGAGCCTCAACACATTACATAAGCTCTGAACCATTGGCAGAAATTTAGCTGTTCCTGTAACAGGAAGAGGCAGGGGTCGACCAGCACAACAGTGACCATAGCATCTTAACTACATTGTGGGGGGCATGAAAGTTCCTGAGGCAGAATAGCCAGTAAGGGGCTGAGTGCTGTCCAGCACGACATGATGAGGAGTGAGGTTATATAAAGGAACTGCCACATGATGAGGAGTGAGGTTATATAAAGGAACTGCCACATGATGATGATACCAAGATTGCAAGTACTATAAAAAGAAATTTTATTGGTAAATTTTCAAGTTTAAAATTTGTAGCCAGAGCAACAGCTTTTCTCCACCTCTAGAGAACTGGTGAAGGATTTTTAACATGCACATGTGTCCTCCTGGTTTCCATCTTTTTCTGAGAAGGCTAAACATCTATCTCTTCCACTACATTAGGAGAGTATACTATCATTTTCCATAATTTAAAAGAATCTGTAGTCTACTCCATTGTATCCAGTTTGTTGGTCGGGGCCCAGGGAACAAATGTAAGCAGTCATTGATGTCATTTACACACACAGAAAACTTAACTTTAGAATGCCGTCCTTTTGTGATTCTGAAATGGATCCATTATACTTTATTGTGACTGTTAAAGCGACGGGGTCTGTGGCAGACTTTTGAAAATAAGAGTGAGTCAAGTTTAACCCCACTTGGACCGCACGCCGAGTGATTAACACATGTTGACGTAAGTGCAAATCATCACTATGCAGAAAAGAATCTCCGAGGGACAAATCCCAGAAACCCTATTCAACCCCAAGGTTATGTTGGAGCCCTTGACGGTCATAATGTAAACTGTAGTCCAAGAAAACAAAAGGATAGTTCTGCAGACCTTAACTAACTGGAAGTCACCGGTCTGCATCGTGAATAAAGGAAGTTCTGGTCAAAGATTGTGTGAGAACTACTGATCTGCATCATGAGTATAGGATGCTCTGCTCAAAGATTTAGAACGGCTGGTTTACATCATGAGTACAGGAAGTTCTGCTTAAAGATTGAGTGTCTGATGTTTTCTTTGTCTTCCTCAACTGGTGACCAATAGACAAAACTGGATGAGCAACAGAAAACAACAAACGAAGCAAAAGCTGCCCAGACCTTATATCTGGACCAGATTGAGGAGCTGACCTACAAGCTGACCCAGGCAGAATCCAAGATCAAAACTTTTGAGTCCACACGTCTGGAAGATGGAGCTAAGGTTGGTCCAGTGCAAGTGTTCACTTCTTCAACTACTTCTTTCTTTGTGTTCACCATCAGTCAGTTTTAGCAGAAATTTCTGGTTATTTGTCCATGTCTGGTCTTTAGTCATGTTCCTGAACTTAAATTTTGTGTGCACGTCTGTTTTACAAATGTAGCTAGTTTGTATAAATACTGTTGGTTCCTCACCTCATGCGTGTGAGTTTTAGAGTGTATGTCTGTGTGTAATAGTGATGTATGTATGTTTGTGTGTGTGCATGTATGTGAGTATTGGGTGCCTATGTGTGCGTGTGGATGTGTGTGTTCGCACATGAGTGTGCGCATGTATTTCACCACCCATGCTTTTGTTTTTTACTTGATATTCATAATATCCATATTATTACATGAACATAACATGCTTTGTTGATGAAATACAACTGCTGTGTGAAAGATGGGTGTTTGGAAGGGCAGAATGTAAGACAGGCCTGCGTGCCTAATTTGTTTCAGCCATTTTAAGTTTGTTTGTTCGTTCACCTCTCAGGCAGATGCATTTCAAAGGAAACACTCTAGCTTGTTGACTTTGATAACATGCTTGTTGGAGGGGCAGTAGTTGTCTCCCACATTGGGTAGAAGTGTTCACTTACTTGTATGTCATTTTTGGTAAAGTGAACCTTTTTCACACGAGTGTACTATCGGTATGTGGTGCTAGAATAATTTTTTCTAATAGAGCCAGCGGTACTTGGTGTATGATGTGGTCGACATTATGTTGGCTATCTTTACTTCTCCTGACATTTCCTGGTACTCATTTTAGGTTTGGTTGAACTGGGAGCCAGCAATAAATGAATTCTTTCATTAGGTCTGTGATTTGGTCTGCTATTGTATCACACATGAACCCTTCTTCTTCTTCTCCTCTACGTCCTCTTTTACCGCTTCAGGTTTCGAGGGCGATATAAGGTCCTGCTTCATACTTTTCTGGCTGCCTCAACCTTTGACACATCATGGTGCTGCAGAGTTTCTCTGATGTTATCTTCCCATTTTGTTCTTGGTCTACCTCTTGCCCTGTGTCCCTCTCCTCTTTTGGTATATGCCTTGTATGATATAGCATCAGAAGGCGTTCTCTCCAAGTGGGCAAACCATTTGATTTGTTGTCTTTGTATGTAATAAGAATTGGGTCTGTACATTAACCCTTGGCTGTCCTTTATTAATAATTCACTTTGTTGTCTTTTTTGCTTTGTAGACAAGCCAAGTCAATATGGAACTGTCAGAGAAGCAGAACCGCATACGGGAGTTAGAAGAACAGCTAGCACAGCAGCAGCAGGAGATGTCAGCCATGTCCCAGCAGCTGAATGACGTGGTGCGTGAGCAAAAATTTTATCATCCATTAGTGTCTCATAGCTTTTATATTTATGTAAGTGTTTTGTAGGCACAGATTTCATCTTCTCTTAGTGTGTTGTAGCAAATCTTCTTTATTTGAGTGTTTTGTAGGCTGAGACTTGACCTTCTGTTAGTGTGTTGTAGCTAATCTTGTGTGGGTGTTTTGTGTTCCTTGTTCACTGCTGCACAATGTACGGCTATACATATCCCTAGTGTTTCTAACAGCTTTCATGTTCTTGTCTGTGATACATCATTAGAACCACGCCTAAGTGCAATTTTTACCTTAGTGCATTTTCAGGACTGTCCCATGCAATATTATTGCTTTATCCATGTGCGTAAATTGGCCTGAAGAAAACAAAAGAACAAAATCAGCCCATGTACTCTCTACCTACTGACAAAGATGACTGAGCACCTTTGTTTGTGGCTGAAGTGCAGAAGCATTGGCAGCAAAATGACCAAAAACACATGTGCGAATTTCGGCTTCATACAGATCAAAATCAAGCAACTTAATTTGCCACTTCAGAGAAAACTTTTCTCAAAACAAGGATTTTACACTAAGCTGACTTTAGAGCCTACAGTATTTCCTGACTTTGACTTTGTGTGTCTGATTCTGCTAGTTGTTTCATCTGTTTTTATATATATTGCTATATACATATACAATGCTTGTTTTTGTTTTTTTAATATATATATTGAACCCACTCTATCTAATTCCCTAGTGTGTATACAGTATTTACCATTTGTAGGTTATTTCAGTGTTGAACTATTTTGTTAATGATCAGTTTAATTGTGCACAGCTATTTCCATAACTGTATCAGTCTACTTATACTTTGTTTGAAAGGGGGAAAAAATACTGGGGGTGGGGGGGGGGAGAAGTTGGTAATAGCTTTTCTGAAGAGTTTCTGATATATTCTTGAGGAATTTCAAAGTCAAGTTGTCTATTTGTTTTGTTGTCTCTGTTAGTCTGGATTTTTAAATCTTTGTGTAACAATCCTTCTTGATCTGTTAGTCTATCTACTTCTGACTGCCTTATCTCTCTCTCTCACTGTCTCTCTCTATCTCTCTTTCTCTCATTCTCTTTCTCTCTTTCTCTATCTCTCTCTCTGTTTCTCTCTCTCTCAGTAAGCATGACAGTAAAGTAAGTTGTGTATCTTTTACAGCATGTTTCAGAACCAAGCCCAGCATTTGTTGGCTGTTGTGGTTTTTCAAGGCAAATTTTATGTTGGGTAGTTTGCCATTTCTTTCTGAGCGGTCAGCTCTCGATATTACTGTCGAAACTAAGACAAAACAAGCTGTCCCCAGCTGGGATCAAACCCGGCACCCTGGGATTACAAAGCGCATTTGTAATGCCTAAGCCACAGATGCATGACAATATATTGATGATATTGGGTATAAAGAAACATCGCTAAGGCCACCAGTAACTTATGAATGTGGGCATGAGTTTGTAATTATGAAATGTATGAAAATATTGCACTGAAAAAATACTGATTGATCTTCATGCCAGCATGACAGTTTGATAAATATTATCACAGTAACTATGAATATATGGTGACACCTGATCTGAGGCGGCTTCTTATAAAAACCTTATAGGTGTTTCAGAAATTACATTAACGATGTGATTGTCTTGAATATTTTTGTTAAGGATATCAAGAGTGTTAATCACTGATTTAGAAAAAAATGGATTACGGAATGCTACTCCTCTTTTGTGCATGTCAGAAGAGGAGCTTGGGATGTCACCATGTTCATCTGCACCCTGACGTCCCATGCTCAACACTCTTGACATCCTTAACAACAGTATTGACAGGATACTAGACAGTAGCATGGTTATTTTAATTTCTGTCACACTTTTGCGGTTTTCATTTGATGCCCCGTCACAATTTTAATATAAAGCATGAAACTAGATTATTAAAACAAAATACTGATTTTTAGTTCGGCATGAGAATAGTTGACGAAATGCAGATGTTTGTATTAACTAATACTGATGTGATATTCACAGATTTTGTTTTTCTTCTCCCACCTCCCCTGTCTGATATTTGTCTCTTTGGCACATCTCTGGAAACCCAATCCCAACTACTAAACTCTTCCCCCGTCCTCAATGAACTTTTTTATAAATCTTGCTTTCAGTGTTTTTAGACACAAACATTATATGTAAAAACTAATATAGCTAAACCCTTTCACTCCTTAAAAGTCTTTAAAATTACCTTGTTCCAAATTTGGATCAAAAGAAATGCATCATTATAATTCTTTGAAACTCTACCCTCAGAAAAGAGAGAAAGAGAAGAAAAAGCAGAAGTTTTTGTAAAATTAAATGCGTTGGAACCTGTGACCACCGAGCAGACATGCACACATTTTAGCTGTCATGTCATCATTACTGCAGACTCACTAAAAAAATTGATTTTTCCAACTGTCATTATTTTTGCAAGTTTTTTTTTTTTTTTTCAATTTTACTGAACAAAAGTTATCACTAAATACAAAAAAAACAAAAAAATAACTGCTTTCCTTCCTTTGACCAAGAAAATGAGTTATGTTTGACACCACAATGACAAAAATAAGATTTTTTTTCCCACCTTAGATAGTGTCTCCAGAATAAAGTACCAAAGCTGTTAAATAGGCATATTGGGCTCTGCCCAAAGGCGTTATCAAAACCTATACAAGTCGGATAACCGGCTTTCTCTTGCGGACAGATTGAACTTCCAAGCTTGCATATGACATTGTCACATGTCATGTGTATTCAAAGAGCCTTGTAGCAGTGCCTCTTGTGCCGACAGTATCATCATGGAGGTGGTGGTTACATTGTCTACAGTGGACACCACGGCAGCTGTCTATCCTAAAATGGTCTGTGACAAATACAGACATAAGCCCTATCATGACATGCTGGACAGAAGCAGTGACGCAATATCTGTCATGTTATAGTCTGTGACAGATACAGACATAAGCCCTATCATGACAAGCTGGGCAGAAGCAATGATTCAATATCTGTCATGTTATAGTCTGTGACAAATACAGATATAAGCCCTATCATGACAAGCTGGGCAGAAGCAATGATTCAATATCTGTCATGTTATAGTCTGTGACAAATACAGACATAAGCCCTATCATGACATGCTGGGCAGAAGCAATGATTCAATATCTGTCATGTTATAGTCTGTGACAAATACAGATATAAGCCCTATCATGACAAGCTGGACAGAAGCAATGATTCAATATCTGTCATGTTATAGTCTGTGACAAATACAGATATAAGCCCTATCATGACATGCTGGGCAGAAGCAATGATTCAATATCTGTCATGTTATAGTCTGTGACAAATACAGACATAAGCCCTATCATGACAAGCTGGACAGAAGCAATGATTCAATATCTGTCATGTTATAGTCTGTGACAAATACAGATATAAGCCCTATCATGACAAGCTGGGCAGAAGCAATGATTCAATATCTGTCATGTTATAGTCTGTGACAAATACAGACATAAGCCCTATCATGACATGCTGGGCAGAAGCAATGACACGATATCTGTCATGTTATAGTCTGTGACAAATACAGACATAAGCCCTATCATGACATGCTGGGCAGAAGCAATGATTCAATATCTGTCATGTTATAGTCTGTGACAAATACAGACATAAGCCCTATCATGACAAGCTGGGCAGAAGCAGTGACGCGATATCTGTCATGTTATAGTCTGTGACAAATACAGACATAAGCCCTATCATGACAAGCTGGGCAGAAGCAATGACACGATATCTGTCATGTTATAGTCTGTGACAAATACAGACATAAGCCCTATCATGACAAGCTGGACAGAAGCAATGATTCAAAATCTGTCATGTTATAGTCTGTGACAAATACAGATATAAGCCCTATCATGATATGCTGGGCAGAAGCAATGATTCAATATCTGTCATGTTATAGTCTGTGACAAATACAGATATAAGCCCTATCATGACAAGCTGGGCAGAAGCAATGATTCAAAATCTGTCATGTTATAGTCTGTGACAAATACAGATATAAGCCCTATCATGACAAGCTGGGCAGAAGCAGTGACGCGATATCTGTCATGTTATAGTCTGTGACAAATACAGACATAAGCCCTATCATAACAAGCTGGGCAGAAGCAGTGACGCGATATCTGTCATGTTATAGTCTGTGACAAATACAGATATAAGCCCTATCATGACATGCTGGGCAGAAGCAATGATTCAATATCTGTCATGTTATAGTCTGTGACAAATACAGATATAAGCCCTATCATGACAAGCTGGGCAGAAGCAGTGACGCGATATCTGTCATGTTATAGTCTGTGACAAATACAGACATAAACCCTATCATAACATGCTGGGCAGAAGCAATGACGCAATATCTGTCATGTTATTGTCTGCAAAAGAGACCTAAATACCCCCATTAACATTTTATGTTCCCCTAAAAACTACAAAGAATTCCCTACCATAGATTTACAATAGTCTGATACATGTGACCTAAACTTGGCTTTTAACAAACCTAATTGGCTAAAAGGAAAAACTTCCTAAATGCTATTTTTAGTTGTGTATTCATTTCCTGACTTTACAAACATATGTGCGAACTCAGCCAGTAGCATTAACTGTGCGCCTCTTTTAGAAATCATGAAAGACAAGTCAGAAAATGATATCTACAGAGAATTTCACCCAACCAAAAGTGTCAGTTTTCGGCACCTCGGAGTGAAAGGGTTAATGTGCAGATGTCATGTGGCTTTGGCATTGAAGTGCTTTCATTTTTTAAAAAACCTGAATAACCCCCAGCCATACCTGTAGTTTCTATTCCCTTGCATTGGCTGATGTCATGTTTCTGTTGTAGCATTTTTTTTTTTTTTTTTCTTCAAATAGTACAAGCAAAGAACTTTTTATACACCTTAAAATAGATTATAGACATTTTTATGCTAGCCTCATATCTTTATTGATCAGTCGGCAAACTATGGTGTGCCTTTATTTCCCTGAATTCTTCCTGG